AGGGGGGCCTGCCGCTGCCCTGCCCTGCCAGGAAGCCCTGCAGCTCTGCCAGCTTGCAGGGCTCTCAGGTAGTAGCCCTCCATTGGGACTCTCTGGTCTTGGAACATCTGTGGTGGTCCTGTTGCCGGACCAGAGAATCCTGGTTAAGAGTGTTTCAATCTGTAGTACTTATGTGAAAAATGTCCAGATACCTAACACACCTTTGGATATATGGAAAGCATTATTTCCTTATATTTTTACTGTCAAAAGCATAAGAAAACCTCACTATTCATCCATAGGCAGGATTTTCAAAAGAGCTCAATATCAGTAGATCCTATTTATTATTGCAGAAATGGGCCTGAAATCAATTATTACACACTTCAAACATTGGTCAAGATTTTCCAAGGAGCATAGCACCCAACCCCCAACAGCTACTATAAAGTACCTGTGGAAGTTCTGGCTTTTTTCAGTACCGCGCAATGGGCCATATCATAGCTTTTATGGTTGAAGACCATTACTATATGCAACTTACTTGGAAAACTTTGGAAGAACTGTGATTTCATTGATGTGGATAATCTTGCGACTGATGCAGATTGCAACTTTTTCATGCCATCCTAGATTAGTTATATTAAAGGCATATACAATTACATGTAGAGATGGAAAAAATCAAATCCCTGTATCCAAACACCTAGCCCTTCAAAAGATGTATCAGAATATTGTAGTTTAAGCCATATATCACATTGCATAATGTTCTATTTATGAGTATGACCGATGTAATCTTGAATCATGTAATGCCATAAATGAAAATTCACCTCTCTCCTGCCATAAATCATTTTAAACTAGTGGATTAATTTGTTTACAATATCTAAATTGAACAGTAGTTGAACTGTAATTTCTAGGGGGACATATTTTTAAAACTCTTAGAATGTTAACTAAAGTAACATTTTATTTGGTGATTTGAAATCTAATTTGTTAGATATATATTTTAAGGCCTACTGGGTCAAATTCTGCTCTTAGTTACATCCATGTAACATTATGGATTTGAAGGAACAGCACAGGTATAAAGAATAGTAGTGTTTGGCCTACACAATTTAGTAAACAAACAGCTTTTGTAAAATACAAGAGGAAAGTCTTTATAATAATTTCTCTTTTCTGCATATATAGGTGGATGTAAATGAGATTCCTGTTATTGACAGCAGTGACAATGGAAATCACTATACGGGCAGCAAAGAAACTGAAGAAAGTGATGGCATTGAAAATGGTTATCTTTATAAATCCAATGGATTTGATTCGAGCAAAGGGGATGAGGAAAGAAATTATCTGATAGATGAGGAAGATGACAGTGGTGATGACATTTTTGATGAAAATAATGAGGAAGATGTTCATAGGGCAGACTCTAGATTCACCATTCATCCCACTGGAGCAGATGAGCATAATGAAGTTGCTCATGGGGACCTAGATGGTGACAACAGAGCTACTGCTACCGGGAAAAAAGACAGTGACAGCAGTAGCAGCAGCAGCAGCAGAGCAGAGACCTTGATCGGGAGGATGCCAGTTGCATTTCTGATAGTAATAGCGATGGCAGGCATTTCCACAGCAAAGGAAATCAAGATGACAGTGCCAGCAGTAGCCAAGAAGAGAGATACAGTTTTGATGAAGGAATGCACGGTGATGACCCATCCATCTTTGAGAGTGAGGGCAGCAATTCAAATATGGTTCATGGTACCCTTTATTCCAAAGTAAGCAGCCAAGAAGCCAGTAGGGAGCATGGTCAGAGCACACAGAAAAGCAGCAGAACATCAGTGAAACATTCCCAGAGCCACATGTTTCAAAATGGTGATGCTACTTCAGAAGAGGATGATAGTGCAGAGGGCAATGACAACCAATCCAGGGATGCAGATGACACCAGCTCCAAAGAGGACAGCAAGTCCACAGAAGACAACAGTTGTTCTAAAGAATATGTTTCCAGCCACCCCAGGGAGGATGTCACCAGCCAGTCAAAGGAAAATGGCACCAGCTGGTCCAATGAGGATATCTCCAGTCAATCAAGTGAAAACAGTAGCGAATCCCAAGAAGAAAAGGAAGAAAACTCCGAAGATGTGGAAAGTAAATCAAGTGAACACAGCGGTAGCAAGTCTAAAGAAGGACAGGAAGACAGAGACTCCCTTAAGGATGACAGCAAGATATCAGTAAGTGACAGTGAATCCACAGAAGACAAGAGGGAACATGGCAAATTAGAGAAGAGTAAATCCACAGAGAGCAGCTTGGAATCAGAAGAAGATAAGGATGGACCATCCCACAGTAAATCAGTTGAGAGCAAAAGTGCTTCAGAAGAGGGCAATAGACGCAAAGAGAGCAAAGCCAGTGATTTGGACCAAGTCAGTAATTCGAATGAAGAGGACATCAGCTCTGAAGAACTGCAAGGCCAAGACAGTAAGTCTGTAGAAACAAATGACAGTGAACCTAAACAAGACAAACATAGTCATTCTAGAGAAAGAGATAGGGAATCCAGAGAGCATACTGCAAGTCAATCAGCCAGCTATGAAGATGACAGTGTATCGAGGAGCACTGAGATTGAAAGCAGAAAGCTAATCCTTGATGTTTATCACAACAAACCCATTGGTGACTATGATGACAATGACTGTCAGGATGGATATTAAAATGTATATGAAAACTCAATTGTGGGGCAGGAAAGGAAAAATCTTTTAATTTATTTACCATGTAGACAATAAGAAGATCAGTTCTTTCTGAGAAATATTCTGTGAACAATAAGGGCATGATGATTTGGTAGGATTTCACTATTTCAGCTGGTGTTTGCCCAATGTGAAATCAAATGAAAAATGATGCTTTAAATATGAAAAAGCTAAATGTAAGTAAGAAGTTGATTTATTGTCCTAGAACTGAAGTAGTACAAAGAAGGGGAAAATCTATATATTGTTTAGAAGTGTTTGCAAACTAAAATAAAATCCCGTATTCTTTAGTGAAGTTAAATCTAGTAGAGTGATGGTTTCCTATAATTCAGTATGTTATTTCCATTAACATTGTTAGGCATGATGTTTTTGAGCATTAAGGAGGAAATGGATGTTTAACATACAAGATCCTTAATTTAAAGTTTATGTGGACTGTAAACACATGAATTTAAGTGCCACTACTCCATGTAATAAGCAAAGCATATGGTCACTGCATATATACATCTTGTGGATTTCAATTTATTTTGTTATTCAATGTATCTATCACTTCAATAGCAGTGTATGTAATATTTTGTAATAAATGTACAAAAACCTATCTTTTTCCTTTGATGACCTTACTATTTTAAAGTTACAAATAATCCTTTATTATTTCCCTAATTAATATTAAAAACACCAGATCAAATCATTGCATGATTTGACTTTTTACTATTAGGCTATATTAAAATGAAATATTATTACTTTGAATTCAAACTACAATGGGAAAGGGAAAAAGGGTGTTCTAAATTGGTAACTTTAACATAGCTGATTTAGATTCCTTAAGTGCTACTTAAGGAAAAACAGACCCGGCTTCTGATCTCACACTGGTATAAAAACAGCGCAATTCCACTGACTTCAATGAAGTCATTCTTGACTTATTCGCACACCCATGATATCGGATTCATACCCTGTGTACTTGTGCTGATTTTGCAGCAAGCAGCCAGAATTTTGAAGCCCCCCTCTTCAAAATGCTACTTTCAAAAAAGAGATACTAGATGGAATATTTTTGAAACATCAGCTAATCATCTTTCTCTAATGCTCCATTGCCATTCCCAGATATCCAGCATATCAGCACAGCAGTCCCTATTAAATGCACAGGGAGAGCAGATCTTTCTGTGCTAGACTAAACCAAGGACAGTCTTGTACTCAGAGATGCATATGCATGTACGCACTACAGGCCTGCTTCTGTTCAGAATTCAATTACAATTTAAAAGTTTAGTAATCACATAGTGCAGAATTCTCCTATTGCCAGTACTGGAAGGTAGAAAAACCTATGGGAGAACAACTCTGAAAATGCCCGAGGGTATAGAATTTTCCTAACATTTTCTTTTCTCCGTACCTACCACACACCTACATGGATGTGCTACTGACCTGTGCACAGATGACAGCTCTTTTGTACCCTGCTCACACCCTCTGGTGTAGGTGAGGAAGAAAGATGACAGGAATATTCTGAATGGAGGGAAGGCAGTATGGGGAAGCTAGGAGGAAGAGAGTGGTCAGGGATGAGGCCATATGTTGGTGACAGAAGGAGAAAAATCTGGGAACTAGGAAAGAGGTTAATGAACAAAACAAAGAAGAGTGGAGAAAATGACTGGGTGTTAGGGACAGTGCATGGGGTGGGGTTGGGAGGTGAGAATAAAAAAAGGGTGCGAACACTGGACTTGAGTTGGAATAAGAGTCTATTTGGGTGCTTGCTGGTAGTGGTGTTGCAGAGCATAGAACGGGAGGAGGATTATGGGCTAGGTTGAACTTGAAGCTGGAAGTGGTGGAAAAGAGCAGGGCAAGGAGGTTTAAAATCTGACCAGTCTTGCAACTATCTTCTACTTCAGAATACAAGTTCTTTCACCTCCAATGTGTTGGAAACTTAACTTTAGCGGCTGTTCCCCAACTGCAGCATCCTGTTTGAGGGCAGGTTTGGGCACTCCCCTCAAACTTGCCTTTGTTAACAAAGCTGTATACCCAACATCAAATTATTCCCCTGCAAATACATATCCTGGTACCAAAGTTAAGCAGCCTCAATGATGCTGATCACAGCAAACAATTAAATGCAAGGACCTGGAGGACAGACAAATTTCTTAAAATCAATTGGGTTAATTTTTGTAATTAGATGTAAAACTCTGAATTAATCACTCAGCAGTGAGAATTCTTGCTTACATGATATTCAGATTCAATAATTGCTCCAGTTCTGAGCAGTCCTCTGTCAATCCTGCTTGAGAGCTGGAATTAAATTCAAACTTTAAGGTGCATGCAGACAGAACATATGTAATATACATGAATTTTACATCTAGGTGAAACATTATCTATGGTGAGAAGATGTAAAATTATACACCAATAACTCCAATGCAATTTGAATTATGAAAAGCTGCTGTCAAAGTAGCTCTTATTTTCTTAACAGAGTTCATGTTATGGGGTGGAATACTGACATCTGAATATGGAGTAGGTATTTGTTGATCCAGCATAGCATTTTTGCTTTGTAATTTACTTTAAGCTCATGATCTACTTTAGGATAAAAGCTTAGTGTGCTGGCTTTAAACTATACAGAAGTTTAAAACCAAGCACGTCAAGTACTCTCCTGAACTGGGGTATGAAATCTTAGTTATGGGACTACGAGTTTTATGGCTACCTCTCCCACTACTTTCCCTCTTGATGTAAAATAGCAACAAGGGCCAACTTCTGGAAAAGAATGAAAATATACAGAAATGTCACCAGAATGTATGGGGGAAGTTTGAAAGTGTGAAATATTGGAGCTTCATAGAACACAGATCCTCTGGCCATATACCTGGTGTATATGTATACATTTCTCTGCATAGGACTGTGACACAATCCTAAATTCTATAGCCTTTGACTAACTTAAAGCACATTCTTTGCTTCAGAATGCCCTGAGTATAGGGAATACTAACCAAAAGGAAAAGAGCTTTGCTTGTCTCCACATTGTTGGTCTTTCTTTCTCGGGTTGAATCAAAATCCTTTCTCAATTTACTCCAGCATGTCTGAAGAACTGAGGTGTGCTTTTTTTCTGCTCTAGTCAGTGCAAGTCCCATGTCTAGGGAGAGTGTAAAATGTTGGCGGGGAGGGCAATAATTAGGTATCTACCTGTAACATATCTGTTTGGTAAATAGAGGACTTCATGCAGAATACAATGTATTTGAGGCCTGTTTAAAATAAGAACCTTTCTTTTATTTGGATTAGGCTCCAACATGCTGGAAAGATTTCTAGGGAGAGTGGAGAATTCTAACATTAAAGTGAGACCTAGGCATTATGAATTTCTTAAAACTAAATGTACGAAGTCCCAAACCTTAACATTACAACAAATAAGGACTTTTAACAAGAGGTTAATCATATTAATGACAAAACCCTTTTATCTTATAAACTATTGTTTTCTACAAGCAAGTAAAGACACTGCGGACTAGAGTCATAAATGGATTTTGGCACACACTGGCCACTTAGATGCTTAACTCCCAAAAACCAGGCTCCACTAGGATGAACAAAGCTTTCACTCTGCTGCCACCAAATCCTGGTATTTGTCACTTAAAAATACCTAGGAACCTGACTTTCTGCATCAGGAGAAGGTGTGAACAGTGTACAAAAGGGTGCCTAAATCCCAGAGCACTGCATAAACTGGGGGAAGAGACGTGTTTCTCCTCTTAAATTTTCCCAGAGGTACAAGTCCAGTAAGTGTGCTCAAAACTTAATTGCTGGATTGGTGAGCTTTTACAAAGCAGCCAGGATAGGAAGAGGAAGGGAGGTGATAACTTTTAATCTAGTGCTTAGGGTGCCTCACCTTAGAAATGGGAAGCCCCCCCAGCCATTCAGGTTCTCTGTCTGATTGGGATTTGAACTTGGATCTGGGTGAATATCAAAATCCCTGAACAACAGGTGCTTTTCCTATTAAAGCTCTTCCGCAGTCTGTTTATATCTAAAATTTTAAAAAGACATTAGTACAGAGTAACTGGATGATCTGTCTCCTACCTTCTAGGTGAGTGCTTTAACCACCAGACTACACAGTCATTCCCATAGCTGTTTTCTTTGTGGTCCAATGATTCTTTCATTATTGTTTTGCAGTGAAATAGCTTCACCAGGAGACCTCAGACTCGCAAGAGGGAAAGGTGCTTACATGCCTTAGCACATACACCCTTGGCTACTTCAGGCTAGGATCTGCTTAGTATGCTGGCTTTTGTGAGTCCCTTTCTGAGGACAAGTAACTCTGTTAATTGTAGAGAGAGCTTAGGTACTCAACTCAGGTTCTGAGATCACAACGATTTTCCAGGTACCTAAAAATTAAGCACTGGATAGTGACTGTCACCATTTCTATCCCTAACTGTTATACCTAGCAAGCAGACTGCTTATTTCTTCATCTTTCTGCAGCAAGATACATACAATTAGTCTGGTGATTTGTATTAAATATACAATAGAATAGTAGACCCTCACTTATTCATATGTTTTGGCAATGTGGAATGATTAGTAAACAGAAGTACTTACACAGATGGATGCTTCTACAGTCACATTTAAATTCCTTTGGAGCCAGTGGGAATTGGAATAGAGCTATAAATCAAAAGGAAAGGAAGTGAATTCAATTTTACCTATTTACTGCAAGAAAAACTATATTTAATTAGTGGACTCCAGTACTCTTTCGAGCACTGAAAACTCTATCTTCTGGTTTTAGAGGATCTGACTTTTTATTCATGAACTAATCAAAAGAGACTCAGATAAGCAGATTGAGTATCTAAGCTCATGTTACAAGCTGTGTAGTTATTTTAAAACGAAGAAATGTTTTAAAAACCTTGAAAAGTGAAAACATTGATTGGTGAAATCATTTAATTCAGCCTATTTTTAAAGCATTTTTATATAAAATGTGTCAATGTAGAAAACTGCATTGTGTTTTGTCAAATACCCAGCAAGTGGCACTGGTGTCCAGGTAAAATGATTCAGTCCTTGCTACCATGCTGAGTTGAGTTACAGGCCTGCTGTGTAAAAACCTTCAACAAGCCTGGACAAAACGATACAATGAAAGGAATGGCATAGGAATTGGGTTCTGAATTCCCTCTAAATTTATGTAATGATTTAAATAATAAGGAAATGAGTCTAACCTGCCAGAAATTCTAAATTCTAAATCACCAACAGGACCTAGTCAATGTCCTAAGTAAAAAACAACGTTAGGACTGTGGGGTTGAAAAATTGCTTATCATTACTGTTTCACACACACACACACACACACACACACACACACGGAACTGCCATTCAGCACTTCTGAGCTGGACCTCAAAATCTTTCTCAAAGCATGTGGATGCTTGGATGTTGGAGAAAAACTACTTTTTGTCCTCTGCCTCACTTTTTCCCTCTACTCCTCTAAGGTGCCCAGAATACAGTGATAAGTGACAATATAAAACCTTAAGGTAGAATAAAGTGGCAAATACCTTTGAAATAGATAAATACCATTTCTTCCTTTTATACATGGAGGAAGTGAGAGATTAAATGATATGCCTAAGGACATATAGTAATTTAGAACAATGACAGAAATTAGGTAAAATCCTAGTTCTATTCAAGTCAGTGGGAGTTTCA